GGAAGTAAAAAGAAAACAATCTTAGTCATCATTTAGTCCAGCTTTCTAATTTTGGAATATGGTAATGAAACTTGCCTCTAAAACACCCAAGCTTACATAGCTAAAACTAACAATTTCTTGGTTCTACGAGCCTTATTATGAAATTGTGGGAGGTGCCACTCACAGTTAAAACAGGAAGTAAAAACCTGCTTCACTCTTCATTCGGCTTAAACTCTTGGCTTGGCTAGACCAGCAGAAAGCAAGCAGCGGTGCGGGTCCCAGGCCTGTGAAGAACAGCGGTGAGGGTCCCAGGATTTGCCTTTGGTAAGGTCAGTTGGGCCTCTGGGGAGGAAGGCCTTTGATTCTAGGGTTTTCTAGGCTGCTGAGGGTGGGATCTGGTGGCCGTGGGCTCCTGGAAATGAGCCTTGTGTTTGAGCCGAGAGCCTGTGGGCCCACAGATTGCACATCTCAAGGCCTCTCTAGCTTAGGTCCGTGGTCGGCAAACTGCGGCTCGCGAGCCACATGCGGCTCTTTGGTCCCTTGAGTGTGGCTCTTCCCAAGCCTTAGGAGTACCCTAATTACATTAATAACAATGTACCTACCTATATAGTGTAAGTTTAAAAAATTTGGCTCTCAAAAGAAATGTCAATCATTGTACTGTTGATATTTGGCTCTGTTGACTAATGAGTTTGCTGACCACTGGCTTAGGTTGATGCATTCCTGTTTGTTTTTTCTGAAATGCTCCAAGTACAGTGATTCTTATGCAGGTGAAACTTGTCAAAGAATAGAAAGCAAATGTTACATCTCAAAGAACTTTGCTGCTACAGCTAACCATTTCTCAGCACGTACCCACCCACATAGATGCCCACTAACATGAACACACATATAAACACACACGCACACATGCACACAGCCCTAAAAATTCAATCATTTATTTATTTATTTTGAGAAATTTAAAAATTACAGAGGAAATTACTGACAAAATTCGAGACTGTACTTGTGGGGTTTAGTGTTTATAGGTGAACTTAGGAATGTCATTCAGTTTGAAAATGACAGGGTTTTGTTGAGGTTTGAACACCTTCACTGGGCCGTGTGAAAGCGCTGGTTTCAGGGCCTGCGGGGACAGTGTTTGTGTGCAGAGTGGACAGCTGGCAGGTTCTGGGGGAGCCCCCACTTTGAGGTGGCCACCCCGGACGGGAGGGAGTTGCCACGCTATCACTGTGGGCTGGGCCTGAGAGCCATTTTCAAGTCCTGTTGAGCTTGGAATGAGGTGCAGGTTTTTGTCTCAGACGATGACTGCAGGTTTTGGATTTCTTTTCCCGTTATCCATATCCCTAAAGGATCTGGGATGCTGCTAGAATATTGCCAGAAGGATTGTTTGTGATTAGATGAGATTTATTTGTAGTTAAATCGTGGCCATAAGGCAGTGGTGGATTTGTGGCTGAGGTCTAAATTTAGGCTCCAGCATGTACTAGCTCGGTTTATAACGTTCTGACCTCTTTCTGCTACTGTGAAGTTAAGAATTCCTGTTTTTGTGCTTTGGGGTGATTTTTTGGTCTTTTAAAATTTTTTAAATAATTTTAATATTTAAAAATAGAATTATACTAGAGGCTGGTGTTGCTCAGTGGTTGAGTGTCGACCTGTGAACCAGGAGGTCACGGTTCAATTCCTGGTCAGGGCACATGCCTGGGTTGTGGGCTCGATCTCCAGTGTGGGACATGCTGGATGCAGCCAATCAATGATCCTCTCTCATCATTGATGTTTCTATCTCCCTCTCCCTTCCTTTCTGAAATCAATAAAAATATATTAAAAAAAATATTAATCTAACCAAGTTTCTAGCTCATCAGTTTGTTCAGTAAACTTAGGCCCCAGGGTCCCTATAGTTAGAACCCAGTGCCTAGCAGCAGCCTGTGGTTAATGGTGTAGAATCTTGTGCAGGCGATTGCTTTCCAGGCACTATGACTAGAAAACTAGGTGACACAAACAAACACACAAACAGACTGACTGTCAATCGTACCAGTGTGTGCTGGAAACCTGAGCCAGGAAAGAAACCTCACTAGCATTTACTAAGTGGCCATTTTGATACGATGCAAAAATCACTTAGGAAACATTGTCATGTTACAGCAAAGATAATAAAACGAGCGCGATGAGCTGGCTACAGAGGACAGGAGCCCAGCCCCAATCATGTTCTAACTAAACTCCTGTTCTAACTACAGGGACCCTGGGACCTGCGTTTACTGGACAGTCTCATGAGCTAGAAACTTTGTTAGATTAATATTTTTAAAACGTATATATATTTTTATTTATTTCAGAGAGGAAGGGAGAGGGAGAGAGAAAGAAAAACATCAATTAATGAGAGAGAACCATTGGCCTTGAATTGTAATATACATACAGGGTGGGCAAAGTAGGTTTACAGTTGTGAGTACACGGAACACAGAGTTTATTCTTGAATTATCTGGGTTCATTATTGTATTGTAATTAATAATAATTATTATTAACCTACTTTTGCCCACCCCTGTATATATACTGTCAGAAAACACTTTTGAACAAAAGCTTTAAAAAGGTTTATTTCTTTTGACTCTAATACTACTTCTGGGCAATTAGTCTAAGAAAATAATCAGAGGTGTACATAGAAATTTGCATTTTAAGATCATCCTAAATGTAATCAGAGACTGGTTGCATAAATTATGGTCCATGCATTTGATTAGCTGCTTTATAGATTTTAAAATTCATATTGCAGAAGAAAAAATGAAGACATCAATGTACTTACGACATTATCAATGGAAAAAATACTCCTACACCTCAAGAATATGGTGTGTTCAATTGTGTTCCAATTATGTCCCAATTAATTAATTAATTATCTGTCTAGACTTAGTGGGACAAACGCAGGTGACCAGGAGTCAGCAGTAACGGCCTATCCCCTGGTACTTCAATGTCTAGAGACCTGAGCCGAACCGGAACACATGAACACACAGACAGAATGAGTATGCAATCACACAGGGTTTATTTACCTATTCCTAGTGGGTCCTAGGCTCCAGCAAAGGCCACCCGGCGATGCACACCGAAAGACGGACGATGAAGACAGAGACAGACAGGCGGCCACAGTTGGTTCAGGCTCACACAGCAGAGCAGTCAATCAGGGGCTTGTCTGACGGAGTGACGTGGAGTCCTCCTCTCAGGCAGGAGACATCGGCTGGAGAAAATCTGGTGCTTATATATTCAGTAGTAAACAACTGTGTCTTATCAGTGTGGGCCAGACGGCGTGCCTTTGCTAGGAGCAGGATGTTTACGCTAAGGGCTCAGGGCATTCACATCAAGATAGTGGGGGTTCACCACATTTTGGAAGTTACAGAGTATTGGGGTCTTCACACAGCAAACATTTCACTCATTAATTATTTCACACAATAATTATTTCCACACATTAGAAGGGTTTCCTTATGACCATAACATTATTATAACAAATTGTGAGGGAAAATATAGAGACATAAAATATTTGGTACAAAAGACAGTAAAGTATTCTTAGGTGTTTATCTTAGGATGATGGAATCATAGGTAATTTTGATTTTTTCTTTTTATCTTTATTTTGTAAAATGAATACAATAAGGATTGTTATCATCAGAAAAAAATAACTGGGGAGGGGGAAAAAAGACGATTCTGCTTGCATTAGACTCTCTGGTTGATTTTATTCTGTAAAATAAGATTTTAACACTGGTTAGAAATGATATAAAATTTTAGAGACACTGAATCCAATGGTACCCACCAGGGCTGGACCTAGTTTAGGCTCATTAGAGTTTATGAATACAAATGGATCTTTAAATAGAGATTTTAATTTAGAGGTTTGTACGTACATTTATAATGCACATGTTAAAAATTTGAAATGGGGAAAAATGTTTCACTTTCTGGTTCACCCGTAGGCCTTCCCCACACTCACCCAGGCCTATTTCCTCTTCTCCGAGACAACCACCGAGCAGCCTCCTGTGTGTTTTGTTCAAAGATCTATGAATTCTGAAATCGATGCACCACTTAATATTACATCACATAGATCACACATACCCAACCACGATGCCCTTTTCATTCTTTTTAATAGTTGACTAGAGTAGCATCGGACATGGTTAAAAGCTTATTTAACTCTTCTGATTTTTATTAAACAGTAGTTTCTGCTCCTTTATTATTTCAAGCAATGCTGCCATGAATAACCTGTACATGCGTTTCGTACACTGATGTTTAACACGCTGAGCGCCAAGCCTGTTTAGTCTTCCTTTCTGTTTCAGTCACCTGTGACTGACAGGGCGCTTAACGTGTTAAGCTAACGTAGGGGAAAAGTCCTGCAAGTTAAATTGTGGGGTCAAAGGAGCTGTACATTTTATATTTTGACAGATGTGGCCAAATTACCCACCTACCTTTTTTTGTTGTTGAAAGTGGTCTTTTGTAATTTCAATTTGCTTTTAAAAAATTGATTGTGAATGAGGTTGAACATCTTTTCAAATGTAAAAACGCCATTAGTTATAAAAAAATAAAGCCACTAGTACTTTTTTCTCTGTCTATTTATGATCTTTACCCATTTAGGCATTGGATGGTTGGTCTTTCTCTTTTTTCCTTAAACTGACTTATAGGAGCCCTATTTATTTATTCCTTTTATTTTAAAAAATATTTATTATTTTTCCACCATTTTCTTTCGCTCTTCTCTTTTTTCCTCTCATTTTTCTTCTCCTTTCCCCATTTTAGTTTTTCTGTTTCTTTTCTTTCTCCTCCCCCTTTTTTTCTTTTTTAAAAATAGTTCTTTATTATTGAAAGTATTACATATGTCTCCCTGTTTCCCCCATTGGCCCTCTCCAGCTCGCCCCCACCCCTGCCCCAGGTCCTCACGGCCCCATTGTCTGTCTCCATGTAGGAGTCCTATTAAAAAAAAAAATTAGTCCCTTTCCTATTACATATTACTGCCCATTTTTTCCCAGTGCAAGATTTATTTATTTTTTGGAATTTTGTGGGTTTTTTTCAGAATATTTTAGTTTTTATTTACATACACTTTATCAATCTTTCTTTGTTGGCTTTCCGGTTTTCTGTTATACTTAGAGAAGCTCTTCACTACTGTAAGATTATTTAAAAAAATTCTCCTATGTCTTATCTTAGTATTTTAATTTTAAGGATTAAATCTTTGATCCTTTTGATGTAAGGAGTTCAGTTAGGCTTCATTTCAGCTTGTCCCAGAAGTCTACCCATTCGAACACCATGTGCTTAAAAAGCCACCTACATGTGAAGAGCCTTTTTTGGTGGTGTGTTTGATTTGGCCATTTTTCATTGTTAACTTCTAATGAACATGTTCATTTCTAATTTCATTGTTAACGTCTAATAGCCAGAGAACATCGACTGTATTATTTCTGCTTTTTGGAAATCTATTCGAGCTTTGCTTGTGGACAGGGTTGGTGATCATTCTGTCCGTGTTTGAATGCATGTGTATTTCCCACCGAGAGGAAATGCCTGTAAGATAGTTGGTCAGCTGTGCTACACGGGTCTTCTGTAGTCTTCCTATATTCAGCCTTCTAGATTTTTTAGTCTCTGAAAGAGATGTGTGAAAGTTTCCTGCTATTTGGGGGAAAGTAAGTTCTTTGAGTTCTTTTGAAATGTTCAGTCCTTCTAGTTTTTTTTGTTTTCTTGTAAGAACACGCATGTGGTTGTGTCACTCCTCCGTGATCTTGTCTCCATGCCTGGGGTTCTCTCCTCAGGTTCCCCAAAAGCCTCACTTCCTGCCCCTCCTCCACGCACTGTGTTCCACTCTCTTAGACACAAGAACACACCAGGCTGGTGTTTAAAGTTCCGTTTCATTTACGCAGAGGATGCCTGCATGCTTTCTCCTTAGCACATTCCTTTTCCTCACTCCCCTCCACGTTGTCACTTTCCCCGCCACCTCCAGGAGGAACAACTGGGTGAGTACGGTATGTCTCCCTCCAGACCTTGCTTTAACACACGTGTCTGTAATCACTGAAAATCTAATTGTATTGCTTTGTGTATTTTTAAAAAGTAGGTGTATGATTTTTTTGTTATATTGCAACTTGCTTTTTTTCCTCACTGTCACCATAACACATATTTTGAATCTCTATCCCTTTGTAGTTTGGAAGATGGAGTGCACTTTTTAACCTCTGCATGATATTGTGTGGCACGACTACGCCTTAGTTTGTTTAGTGTCCCTGTGTTGGAGGACGTGTGGGGAGCTCCTAGTTGTTGGAGGTTACCCGTCACGCTGTGATGAGACGCCAGGAACATACCCTGTTGAGCACCCAGGTGTGTCTCTATAGAGTGTGATTTAGGGAATGAGCTTGCTAGTTTGTCTCCTTATATGTCTGGCAGTTTTGTTTGTAGCACTTTGAATATCTTCTATGAGGTGCTGGTCCCTTATTTAAGATGTCTTTTGAACAAAGGCATTTTCATGATAACCGTGAGAGATCTCGGCCCAGCAGCCTTTGTGAATCCAACACAAAGTGTGTCTTTTGAGATAACTATCTGTTCAGTTTCCTGACTCAAGAAGACTTGTCTAAACAATGATGTCAGCTCTACATTAAAAGGGAGGAAAAAGGTTTTGCCCCATAATTCTAATTCTAAGAGAGAATTTATCAGAGATAGGCACAGGACAGATGCAAAAGCCTCTCAATGCAATATGATTTTTAGCAGTAAAGAAATAGAAAAATGCTTAAGATAAACTTTGATATATCCATGTGCTGAAAAATCTAGAAACATTAAAAATATGACAGAGAAGAATATTTAACGGTAGGGATTAATGTTTATTTTAAATGTTAAGTAGGGGCTGGTGTGGGGGGAACGTGTACATATCTGGATATGCAGCCTGATCCTAATTTTTATATAAGTGTGTGTGTGTGTGTGTGTGTGTGTGTGTGTGTGGTGTATGTAATGATAAATGGGACTATGTTATAACTCATTTTAAAATTTCACCAAAAAACCCCACTGGTTTTATAATCAAAGTGCAGACAGGAAGGTGGTTTTTAAAAGGCTCAAAGTCCTTTTGGTCACTTAAAAAAATTTAAAGCTTACTGTTAGGCTCACCAAAGGAGGAATGCATGAGGCCAAAGTGGTTCTGGATTATAAATTTATTAGTTCATCTGGATACCACATGGGCTGTGCTCCCAAATGGCGCCAGCACCAAAAGATGGGAGTCAAAGGTTTTTAAGGGACTCTAGGTGGGCAGAGAATTCCCTGTGCAGGTCCGGATCCTGGGAAGGTCTGCAGGGGAGAGGTGATGGTCTTAGCAAGTGGAATGTGCTCTAAGCAAAAGGGAATGTCTGTTGTGAAGTGGTCTAAAGGTCAGTTTCCAGGGAGGGGGAATTGACTCAATTATTTGATCAGACCTAACACTTACCTTAATGTGCAAATCAAAAGTATTTCTATTTTAATATCATATGTACAAAATATATGGGTCCTGGTTCACTACCTCTGCTTAATACTTCTGAGTGCAATCAGGATTTGCATTTTCACCCAAGGATGTCAGTAAATGCAGGGAGCTTAAAGAGCCGGGAACCATCTGCTTTGCTTTAGGAAGGAAAGGGGTCCAAACAGGTTAAGGTTATTTGAGGTTAAGGAAAGTGCCAAAGGCACAGAGTCTGTGGGACTGAGGGGATGACGGAGCCGGATGGGAAGTTCAAGGTTTCCTAGTCCAAGGTTCTCACACAGCAGCTCTTAAGGCAAGGGAGAGTCGGAGTAAGACTTCAACAAAGCCTTCTTCTACTTTGCAGAGAGTTGGAAAACCACTGCTTCCAAGTGCATTTTCACATTTATTATTCCTACTGCACCCTGATCACAACTCTTCTGACCATTGGCTAGTTTATAGATCTACCATCCCATACAGTAGGCTATTTGAGAGCAGGAGCTTATCTGTTTGTTTTCTTCCCTCTACCCACAGCAAAATGCCTGACGCGTATTGTAAATGATGTCATAGCATTTGATGAGGGAACCAAGCAGTTAATGGTGCTTTTCTTCCTCATCATAATGTTGTGTGTTGACCTAGGCTATAGCTACATTTGACCAACACGGACAAGCATGGATTTCAGCAATTGTCTGTATGACATTGGGGAAGCGCTGAGCAGTGATGAGGTGGCCTCGCTCAAGTTCCTGTGCCTGGATTACATCCCACTAAGGAAGCAGGAGCCCATCAAGGATGCCTTGATGCTCTTTGAGAAACTCCAGGAGAAGAAAATGCTGGAGGAGGACAACTTGTCCTTCCTGAGGGAGCTGCTATTCCGAATCGACAGGCTGGATCTGCTGGAAAAGCGCCTGAAAACCAGCCAGGAGCAGATGTGGAGGGAGCTTCAGATCCCGGGCCGGGCTCAGATCTCTGCGTACAGGTGGGGACCATCTCTGCAGCCTCAGCACGGGAGGGGCGGGGAGCGGACACATCCCTGTGGGAGGGTTGATTGCAGGTTGTTGATGTAGAATGACTTTGGAGGCTCTGGGAAGATGTCCTATCAGGGCCGGGTGAAGAAATGTGGAGACCTGATGTAGAATTCAGGAAGAAAAAAAAAAGCTCAAACCATAAAATAAAAATTGTAAAGTGAAACGTTACCTGTAAGTATGCTGCCATTAAAATGGACCTTTCCTAAATGTTCTAACTCTCTTTCTGATATGTGTCTGTTGTCTTGGTGTTTCTGTTTTCTGGATGCCCACATTGTGTGCTTACTTTGTCTATCTATATCAGGGGTCCTCAAACTTTTTAAACAGGGGGCCAGTTCACTGTCCCTCAGACTGTTGGAGGGCCAGACTATAGTTTAAAAAGAAACTATGAACAAATTCCTATGCACACAGCGGCGGCAAAAACACCCGGCGGGCCGGATAAATGTTTTTGGCGGGCCGCATCTGGCCCGCGGGCCGCAGTTTGAGGACCCCTGATCTATATATATAAAAGCCTAAGCGACCGGTTGACTGGTCGCTATGACGTGCACTGACCACCAGGGGGCAGTTGCTCAATACAGGAGCTGCCCCTTGGTGGTCAGTGAGCTCCCATGCTGGGCTCATGGCTGGTGAGCCTAATGCACAGTGGGGTCAGCATGAGCGGGAGCGGTGTGGTGCCAGGCCAGGGCTTGGGCTCCTCCCCAAGTGCCGGCAGGCCACACTGGGGACCCCACCAGTGCACAAATCCGTGCACCGGGCCTCTAGTTTTGGATAAAGCATCACTACTTTTTACCCTGAAATCCTCCTCCCACTTGCTTGTGGGTGACTGTAGGAATTCTCAATGGAGAATTTCCCACACTTGCATTATAGAATCCTCCAATGAGGGACACACTGCCAGGCGTTCCAGATGGGCCAGGCCAGAGCCCTCAGAGACTGCTTAGCCCCCGTGAGGCCTGCTGCTGCTGAGAGAATGACACTGACTTGGGTGTCAGGCCTGCCAAAGGCCTTGCAGCTCAGCCCGTCCCCACCTGTGGGAGAGTCCGTAACCTAGGGTGATAACAAGTCACTGCCAGTTACATCTTCGTGATTCTCAAGACTTTAAAAATAGAGACATACTATCTACTTCTCTCTTTCAACAATCCTTCGTCTTGCAGAATCATCAATCTAACCTCTGCCTCATTCTTCCTTTTGTGTGTTTGTCTGAAGCTCCCTCTTCCTATAAGGACCCAGTCATTGAATTAGGACCCACTGGAATCCAGTATGATCTCATTTCAACGAGATCACAACAGCAGAGACCTTTTTAAAATAAGGTCACAGTGATGTGTTCTGGGTGAACATGAATTGGGAAGGAGGATACTATTCAATACTGGGTAACTTTGGTTTAATAGCGTTGTGAAGTTCTTTTAAGGGATTTTTTAAAAAATATATTTTATTGATTTTTTACAGAGAGGAAGGGAGAGGGATAGAGAGTTAGAAACATCGATGAGAGAGAAACATCGATCAGTTGCCTCTTGCACACTCCCCACTGGGTATGTGCCCGCAACCAAGGTACATGCCCTTGACCGGAATTGAACCCGGGACCCTTCAGTCCGCAGGCCAACGCTCCATCCACTGAGCCAAACCGGTCAGGCATTTAAGGGATTTTTTAATTAGGCACCAATTAATCTAAAAAACAACATCCCCCAAACTAGGAAGCCTGGAAGGTCTCAGCTTATGCCCACCATCTTGGTCTTCTGGAGGCTGTTGGGCTGAGACAAACTGCCAGTGCTGGACATGGCCTGTCCCTCCTGTGGGAGGGCCAGGGTCCCTGCCAGGGGCAGGATCTGTCTGTTAAAATATTCAACATGTTAGTTTGGAGGTGGGGGGAGTAAAGCCAGCACAAGCACAAGCTACTGCTTCTGCATTGTTTATCATTAGCCAGTAAATAAAAAATATACTAGTATGATCGCTTTCCATTTATAAGAAACCACTAGACATTTAAAATGTCAAAGTAGAACTGCTACCTAAAAAATAAGTGTCATAGCCGAAACCGGTTTGGCTCAGTGGATAGAGCATCGGCCTGCGGACTGAGGGGTCCCAGGTTCGATTCCGGTCAAGGGCATGTACCTGGGTTGCAGGCACATCCCCAGTAGATGTGCAGGAGGCAGCTGATCGATGTTTCTCTCTCTCATCGATGTTTCTAACTCTCTATCTCTCTCCCTTCCTCTCTGTAAAAAATCAATAAAATATATTAAAAAAAAATAAGTGTCATAAACTATCCAGGTTTATTTGTAGACAACGATGATACAAGAAAGCTAGTAGGTTTCAGTATGAGGAAAGTAAAAGGGAAAAATACCTGGTAGTCAAGTTGAAAGGGGCAGTGGCTTTAGATTGGACCCAGTCTTGGCCAAAGCGAGAAAGTTTTAGCAAAATACTTCCAGGGTACAGGTTCCACAAGAAGAAGGATGAAGCAGACGATAATACTAAGTAACTCCCATTTCTACTATTTTTAGAATTTTAATTTTCTAATTTAACTTGGAAGTTAACGTGTTTTTGCATTAAAGTTGTTTCCTTTACAACATAATAATGAAAGGTTTGCTGACTTATAAAACATCCCTTTGCTCATTGAACAAGCATATCCCCAAACCCTATCAGAGGTTAGGAAATAATAATGCAGATAAACGTATTCATGTAATCCCCAACACGTTCCAACGCATAGATACAGAAGCATCTGCGGTCTACAATGAAGACAAAAGTGTGTAACGTGTCTGAAGTCATGCAGCTCATGCGTGGAGGGGCCAAGGCTCCAACATTCTTAGTCTGGGTCCCCTGCATTTAAACACTGTCCCTCACAACCCTCTGAGCTTATGGAAGCGAACAGGGCCTGGGCCCTTCTCTCAGGGGATTTGGAGAGCTTGATAAGCAGACAATTATTTGCCACCCTTTGGGCGATACAAAGGCACAGAGGGTGAATGCACTTAGGCAGTGCGTGAGCTGTTAGTGGATGAGTGGTTGTCTAAAGACAGACAAGGGAATAGGAGTGTGGAGGGGGGCGAGGCATAAAGGGGTGAGGGGCAGGGCAGCTGGGTGTGCTTGGAGAAGACAGTGGGAGGGTGGTGAGGAGTGGCCGAGATGAGGGGGTAGGTTGGGCTCAACTCACAGAGGTCTGTATTCCAGAACCAAGTGTTTGGCCTTCCTACTGAAGGTCACGGCTGGGAGAACACTGACAAGTTTTAATCAGGAAGTGAGGATCGGATTTGCATTTTGAGAAACGTAACTTCCAAAATCAAAACTTTCTTGTGGCAACAAGATCTTGACGGTATAGTGAAGACAACGGAAAACCACATTTCGTGGAGCTGAAATGAACTGAAGGACAGTTCATTTGAATTCGTTAAAGCTGGATAGTTGGGCATGAGTCAGTAGTTTTGTGTCACTCCACCAGCCTCTCCCCAAGAACTCAACTCCTACACCATGCGATGAGCTGGCTTTATTTTGAAGGGAGGCCATCGGAATCGAGTCTGCAGTGACGCCATGTATCACCTGAGAAATTATTTAAAAAAGCATTTCTCAAGTGTCTCCATTTCCCACCACAGGGTCATGCTTTTCCAGATTTCAGAAGATGTAACTGCACCGGAATTGAAGGACTTTAAGTTTTTTTTGAACCGGGAGCTCTCCAGATGTAAACTGGTGGATAGCATGGTAAGACCTGGTGTCCTGCCAAGATTCAGTCCCGAGGAAGAGTCAGCCAGTGGGGATTGCTGAGACTGAAGCGAGGGCTACTCGGATAAAAGCACCCCGAATTCTCATTTTTTGCCTGGGTTGAAGAAGAAAGCTGTCAGGCATGAAGGTTGTAGATGTGATCCCTTCATGTGCTGTGAAGTGCTGCTCACGTTCATTACCAGGAGCCAGGCTGTGTCGGGAGGAGAGAAGGGGGTTGTGGGACTCTGCAGAGCCAGGAGAGACAGGTGTCTGTGTCTGGTGCGGTTTTCTGTGTCTGTGTGTGTGCATGTGTGTTTATGTGTGTGGGGTGTTTCTGGGCGTGTGCATATCTGTGTATCTGTGGTGTGTTGCAGGGTTGTGTGTCTGTGTGTGTGATGTGTGTGCACGTGTTTTTTTGTGTGTGGGGGGTGTTTCTGGGTGTGTGCATATCTGTGTATCTGTGGTGTGTTGCAGGGTTTTTTTGGTGTGTGTGTGTGGTGTGGTATGTGTGTGTGGTTGGTGTGTGTGTGTGTGTGTGTGTGTGTGTGTGTGTGTGTGTGTGTATGTGCAACGCCAGAGGAAATGTTAGGTGTGAGGCAGTTCCCAGGGCTGTCACTATGGGGGCCATGGCTGTCTCAGCGTGCACCTCTGGCTGTTTCACATGGAAGTGTCATGGGTGGTTTTAGCACAGGGCCTGGGTCCTGGGGACTGATGTGGTGTCTCCTCTGTCTTCTCTATTTCTGGGCCGGAAAACACAGAAGTGCCTCCTAGCAGTATATTGGCTTTGAGAGACCAGAATGTCCTCTCAGGAGAGTCTGCTTGGGAAGCTAGGGTGGTCCCTTGGGTTGGAGAAAGTGCAAGTAAAAACAAAAATCTAATCTAAAAGCCAATATGGCCCAATTCCGTCTTCCAACTTTATTTCTCCTCCCTCTAGAGCTTGCTTGATATTTTTATGGAGATGGAGAAGAGACTCATCCTTGGGGAAAAAAATTTGGACACCCTAAAAAGAATCTGTGTACAAATCAACCGGAGCCTGCTGGATAAAATCAGTGCTTATGAAAAATTAAGTAAAGGTAGAAACAACCTCACAGCTGTGAATTAGCAAAATGTATTCTTTTTAAAAAAGTTTTCATTTATTGATTTGATAGCGAGAGAGAGACATTGATTTGCTGTTCCACTGATCCATGAATTCACTGGTTGATTCCTGCCAGTTTATTCCTTTATGTGCCCCAACCAGGGATCGAACCTGCAACCCCAGTGCAGCAAAATGTATTCTTAAATTGACAAACCCCTCTATGTCCCAGTATTTTTAAAACAAAACTGTGTGTTTGCTTTAATTCAGAGGGAAGAATGAGCCTTTGTTAAAGATTCATAAATAGCCAAAGTAAAGCCAATGAATCAGCCCTGGCCCGTGTGGCTCAGTCGGTTGGGCATCATTCCATGTATCAAAAGGTTGCTGGTTCGATTCCCAGTCAGGGCATATGCCCAGGTTGGGGTTTTGATCCCAGGTAGGGGGCCCGCAGAAGGCGACCAATCCATGTTCTGCTCTCACATCAATGTTTATCTTTCATTGTCCCTCTTCTTCCTCTCTCTCTAAAAATCCATAAAAAAATATGAAAAAGAAACAAAAACAAAATCAAAGAATAATTGTAAAAATTTACCATGCACACACCAAAAGACAGTTTGCAAACCAGGAGCATTCAAAACAAAACATGGCATGAGGCTCAGGAGCACGCTGTTATAAGGCAGCTTACACAGTGAGAAAGCAGTGACTTCATTCTTCACAGTGATTGATTCTGATGTTAGAATTTTCTTAAATGACAGGTTGATCAGTGGTTACCTCACATCAACCTTGGAGAAAAGTTCAAGTTTTCCTCATGATTTTCAGAGGCACAAACAAGGTCAAGTTAGCCTTGTAAAATAAGCTAAATTAAGCTTTGCTTGTATGATTAAATTGTTGTTTTTTTCTGCTCAAGGAGGTTTTTTTTAAATTAAATATGTTTTTTATAGATTTCAATGAGAAAGGGAGAGGGAGAGAGAGAATCTTTGATCGGCTGCCCCCTACATGCCCCCTACTGGGGATTGAGCCTGCAACCTATGCATGTGCCCTGACCAGGAATCGAACTGTGACCTCTTGGTTCACAGACTGATGCTCAGCCACTGAGCCACGCCAGCTGGGCAGGGAGTTGTGTGTTTTTTTTTTGTTTTTGTTTTTAATCTTAACCTCTTAACAGAAGTCCAGGTGAATTTTCAAGTGGTGATACCTGGAGATGTTTTCAAGACTTATTTAATTAATTTACTCTTTGATATTTTCATTGCTTCCTCTCTACAACCTTCTACCATCCATGTCCACATCTTAATGGAGCTGCCGCCGAGTACCAGGATGAGGGCTCGGTGGCTACTTCTTGTCACCTCTGCTCTACACACTAAAACCTGTGTCTAGAGCAGGGGTGGGCAAACTTTTTGACTTGAGGGCCACAATGGGTTTTTAAACTGGACCGGAGGGCCGGAACAAAAGCATGGATGGAGTGTTTGTGTGAACTAATATAAATTCAAAGTAAACATCATTACATAAAAGGGTACGGTCTTTTTTTTTTTTTAGTTTTATTCATTTCAAACGGGCCGGATCCGGCCCGCGGGCCGTAGTTTGCCCACGGCTGGTCTAGAGACACAAACCATGTGGGCTCAGGCCAGCAAGTTTGAAACAGATGCAGAGTGATTCAGTGGTAAAAATGGGACTTATTCTGTGGATTGTAAGGATATGAATTTTCCTTTTAAAAGGGACTTTATGTTGTCTCAGGTATTACATGTTTCTTTACTAAAGTACCTTCTCTGCCACATGTTGTTCCCTGTAGATGGGGGGCCAATTTCAGACTATCCTCGAGAGCAGGACAGTGAGTCACAGGAACAGAACTGTGAGCCACGGGAACAGAACTTTGAGCCACCACAGGAACAGAACTGTGAGCTGCCACGGGAACAGAACTGTGAGCCGCCACGGGAGCAGGACAGTGAGTCACGGGAACAGGACAGTAAGCCACAGCAGGTATGAAGAAACCTCCCATTACTTCTTTTCTTTACATTGAAGATTCTAGTTAGTGTATTCCTTAGCTTTTTAAGCTTCCAGATAAACTAGTAAGGAGAAAAAACTTAGTGACTATTATGAGGACTATAGAAAAAATTCACAAAAGCACAAGCTTAAAGTGTGACTTTTTAATGTAAAGAAAATGTGATTTCTCAGGTTAAATGTTTATTTTAAAACCAAAGACAAACACATTGAAACACTTGGAGCAGAGGGGTGAGAAGGCTCCTGCCCGGCCCTTTCAGCAGCTGCATCAGCCCGAATGGCAGCCGGCTTTGGGGGCAGAGACTGGAGAAAGCAAAGCCGTTTCCTTTGGCTTGACATCTCAAAACTGTTTCTCCTTGCTGATTAGGTGTAAGTGGCAAACGCTCATGATCTAGCCATTTCTGTGTTCTCACCCCAAAGAGCCAGTCTAGGAATTGCCTTTCTAGACATTAGCACACCTGCTTGTGTAACCTTCAGTGACCCACCAAACCCATTCTGACTCATAGCCCACTCACGCCTCTCTGTGGCAGAAAGCAAAGGAAATCCTGAACACCAGAAACCCAGCAGGAGACTTAAAATTAAACCTAGAGAACAATTTACCAGTGGGCTCTTGAATAAGTTACCGAACCTCTCTCAGTCTGAAAATCAAGGATTAACCAAAGTCAGGGAGCACACTGCAGAGTAAAGCACTCTACAGGCATTGCCCCAGGAACAGCTAAAGATCCTGGGTGCAAGAGAGATTGGATAACTTGCTCAAGGCTTTAAGGTTATTAAGTACTAGAGGCTCGGTGCACGAAATTCGTGGACTGCACTCCCTCACCCCAGCCTGCACCCTCTCACAGTCTGGGACCCCTTGCTCCTTACTGCCTGCCTGCTCGCTCCTAACCGCTCGGCTTGCTGCTCCTTAGCATTGCCATGGAAGCGAGAGAGGCTCCGCCACCACCACTGTGCTCGCCAGCCATGAGCCCGGCTTCTGGCTGAGTGGCACCCCCCCTGTAGGAGCACACTGATCATGAGGGGACAGCTCCTGCATTGAGCGTCTGCCCCCTGGTGGTCAGTGCACATCATAGTGACTTGTCATTCTGGTTGTTCTGCTGTAATGGTCGCTTACGCTTTTATTGTATAGATGGAACTACCTGATAGACAATGTACCCCCCTGAGGGGTCCTGGATTGCAAGAGGGTGCAGGCCAGGCTGAAGGACCCCACCGGTGAATGATCAGGGCCGGGGAGGGATGCAGGAAGTTGGCCAGCTGGGGAGGGATCGCTGGAGGACTCCAGGGCATGTCCGGCCCATCTAGCTTAGTCCCGATCGGCTGGACCCTAGCAGCAAGCTAACCTACCAGTTGGAGCATCTACCCCAGGTGGTCAGTGCACGTCATAGCAACTGGTCAACTGGTCAACTGCCTGCCCCTTGGTGGTCAGTGCATGTCATAGCGAGCAGTTGAGTGGCCTTAGCATATCATTAGCATATTATGCTTTGATTGGTTGAACTGACGACCGGACCACTGGACACTTAGCATATTAGGCTTTTATTATATAGGATACAGCCAAGAATCCCTCACACCTCCACCCGCCCCTCCAGCTGGGAGCTCCTTTCTCTACTGGGAGGAGCTGCATGGATTTCCCAATAAATGTTGGATATCTTTGCACTGAAACAGCTCTGGGAAAATAAGGCCAGCCCAGGGCCACCACTGACTGGTAATGTCAGGTTCTAGAGTCTGGAAACTGTGACCTGCAATAGCCAAGATTTGCCTGCCCAGTGCATCTCTCGTCTCCTGTCCCTGTGGTCCTGAGAACCAGATTAATCCATCAGCTTTAACAGTCCGGGGACACGCTGTCATGTGTGAAGGGAAGGCCCTCAGCTGTTTGCCCAGAAACAGGGATGAGTTGATCAGATAGCCATGGAAGTCACAGGGTCACGGAAGGGCAGCCCAGAGACAGCCCTAAGACATTCATTCATTGAGCAACTCCTGCTTGAGCTCTCACGAATGAGTAAGTCCTGGTTCCTGACCCAGACATCATCTGCCTTGAGCAGAAATGAGGACAAATAATACATTATGATGACAATATGAATGTAAGTGCAAGGTGCTCAGGAGGCCCAAGTATTGGGACATTAGCTAGACACACTACAGGTGGGGCAGAGTCTGGGGGTCCTGTGTGAGGAGAAATGAGCCGGCTTGCTAGGGAAACAATGTCAGCTTGGGTGGGAGCCATTGAATGAGCCCAGTCTGGCTCAGGGGCCAGCCTAACCTTGGACCAGGGAGTTGTTTGCTCACATCTCAAGTGTTTGACCACAGTGTCAGCTCCTGGGTTGTGTTTTTGTCTTTCAGACAGCGGACAAAGTTTACCGAATGAAAAGCAAACCTCGAGGATACTGTGTGATCTTTAATAATTATGATTTTAGCAAAGCACGGGAGAACGTGCCCAAACTTTGCAAAATTAAGGATAGGACTGGAACAGACTTGGATGCAGGTACAGTAGAATCCAAAAGAGATGTAAAATATTTCTAACTAGAAGCTTCGTGCACAAAATTCATGCACTGACGGGGGGGGGGTCCCTTCAGCCTGGCCTGTGCCCTCTCACAGTCTGGGACCCCTCACTCCTTACTGCCCGCCGGCTCGCTGCTCCTTACTGATGTCGCAGAGGCGGGAGAGGCTCCTGCCACCGCCACTGCGCTCGCCAGCTGTGAGCCCAGCTTCTGGCTGAGCAGGGGAGCACATTGACCACCAGGGGGCAGCTCCTGCATTGAGCATCGGCCTCCTGGTGGTCAGTGTGCATCATAGTGACCGGTCATTCTGCTGTTTGGTCGATTTGCATATTAGGCTTTTATTATATAGGATACTTATGTTTTTATCAAAAGGGGTGAACAAAAGCTATACCAACAGAGCTGTATGTTTCAGAAAAATGACTATAACCACATTTTCCTGTGGAGGTGAAGGACAGTCTTAGGTATTTGCTAGTTTTCTGCTTTTCTTTTTTTTAACTTAATTTTAAAAATTAAAACAACGTAGGAGAAAACCAAGATGGCGGCATAGGTAAACACCAGAAATTGCTGCCTCACACAACCACTTCAAAAAAACAACTAAAAGACAAAACGGAGGCAAACCAAGATGGCGGCATAGGTAAACACCGGAGTTTGCTGCCTCGCACAACCACTTCAAAAATACAACTAAAAGACGGTACGGACATCATCCAGAACCACAGGAAGGCTGGCTGAGTGGAAATTCTACAACTAGAAGGAAAGAGAAAAGCATACCGAGACTCAGAGGAGGCGCAGTGCGGAAGTAAAATACTAAGGTACAGAGGTGCACGTGGAACAGGCTGGCAGCTGAGGGCGCGGTTGTTTTCAATTGGGAGGGAGTCTCAGGCTCTGAGCTCCAGTTCCGGGCAAGTCTCTGGGGACCCAGACTCATACGGGAGAAGTGGGACTGTCTGGCATCGGTCGGAACTCGAGGGCAGCTTTCTCTCAGAGGGGCTTGCAGCGATTGTCGAGACACTGAGAAGTGGAGCCTCTGAGAGCAGCCATAACTGCTAGCCCCGCCCTGTTGATCCCTTGGGACCCACCCTGCCCAAGCCCTGCAGGGAGGCTTTTGCTGGATAGCCTAAGGCAGAGGCTAGATTAGCACCTCCCTAGAGATCCAGGAGCCAGTGTACTCAGAGGTCAAAGTGGGACCATCCAGTTTGCAGCTCCGTGGAACCATAAAGGACACACTCAGGGGGCAGACTCAGTGAGCACCAAAGCCCCATTGAAGCAAGTCTTGCCCTGGAGGGGTGTCTCCAGCACAGAAGTTCTCCCACTGCAGACACAGCTGATTCTCACATCCAATTGGCCTGGAGGTCAATTCCTCCCAGTGATACCTACAACAATCAAGGCTTAACTACAACAAGACTGTGCACAAAGACCACAAGGGGGTGCACCAAGAGTGTCTTCCTCAGGTAATTGGGGAGGCTGAACCACTGGATCCTAGAGGACACTTAGCACAGAAAACCACTTTATGAACACAGGGAAGCATAAAAAATGCAGAGACAAAGAAAAAGGACACAAATGACAGAAATGGAGGAAAGCAAACTACTGGATATAGAGTTCAAAACCACACTTTTAAGGTTTTTCAAGAATTTTCTAGAAACTGCCGATAAACTTAATGAGA